GGGTGAAAAAATATAGTTGATAAAATATGTATGGGACCTGAGATCATGGAAAATGATTCCAGACCCTAAAATCATCATTCACTGAAATTGATAGAATCTAAATAACATTTGGAATGATGAATAAATTTTCATTTTGATTCAAGTGTTTTAGGAACACAATCAGAAATTTGCAGACAGCCCATTTCTATCATTTAAATAGATCTGAGCTAAGAAGAAAAAGAAATAAGCTATGTTAGGTAATATGGCTTATTGTAAAAGTTTATTGAAAATCTCTTGGTGGATGAATTAGATTTGTAAGGTCTCCCAATTCAGAAAGACTGTAGGAAGCAAGGATTTTGTTTTCTCAGCAACAAGTCCAAATGTTTATGTTGTAGATGGATTATCTGTAGTTTCAGCCACAAAATGTGTGTGGCTCTCACAACTGTTGTGCTAGTCGGGTTCCTGCTCTCATTAGTGGCAGGAAGTTAAAACAACTGGATCCCACTCAGTGTCTTGAAAAAATCTCTTTGATGATGGGACAAAGTCATACTGCTGCATTCCCACTGCTAATGGAAGAGATGTATGTAACAATAATATGTAATTTGATTATAGGTGGTCCTTGACTTCCACCCATTCATTTAGTGACCATGAAAAGTTACAATGGCACTGAAAAAGTGACTTATGACTGTTTTTCATACTTAAGAGTTGAAGCATCCTCATGATCTTGTGATCAAAATTTAAACGTGTGACAGCTGACATTTATTTATGACGGTTGCAGTGTTCCGGGATCATATGATCATGTTTTGCGACCTTCTGACAAGCAAAGTCAATGGGGAAGCCAAATTTACTAACTTAACAACTGTGGCAAGGAAGGTCATAAAATAGGGCAAAATTCACTTAACAATTGTCTTGCTTAACAATGGGAATGTTGGGCTCAGTTGTGGTCAAAAGTCTTTATGAGAGACAAAGTGTAGGAAAACATGCTATATTGTAACAGGAACATAGATGGAAGGGACCTTGGAGGCCATCTAGTCCAACCCCCTGCTCACGCAGGATACCTGTACTAGGGATTTGAACCACCGAACTTTCTGATCGACAAGCTCAGTGCCTTAGCCACTTGAGCCACCTAGTCAGGCTGAGCACCTAGTCAGGCATACATGTGATAATCAATGGTTATAGGAGTATGGGCATGAGAGCAGGTATACTGAGAGAGCAAGCCCTCTCTCAGCTCCTTTTATAGCTTTGAGGGCCACAGAGAGCATTTGATGATTTCATTGGTTTACATCAAAATATAAAGGTTCACCGTGCCTTATTCTACTAGATCTCCTCTGGGAAATCTCTGGCATGCTCTCTTTCACCTCCCCCACCACAGTGCTGGGCAAATAACGCTACTGTTGTTTAGCAGCAATGGGTGTTCCTTCTATTTTCTCTTCTCTTTTAATTAAGATCCGAGATCTGATCTGCTTGCTCCAAAGGAGCTTTTGTAGAAGAGCGGTTCCACCCAATGAGATACATCTCTGCTTTGCAGAACTGCTTTGAGAACCACACACAATGATGCCACTCAGCTTTCATTCCCAAAGGTGTGGTGCTGCCAAGTAACTCATTTGAGTTGGCTGAACGTTTTTGCAAGGCCTTTGAAACACCCAAAAGGCAAATGACGATGCCTTAGCCAGCCAGACACCTGCTCGCTCTAGGCTAGCAATTAAAGAACACTGCAGGAATGCATCCAAAAGCCAAGGAAATCAGGGTGGAAAGGCTAGACTGCAGAAGGCAGTGTGCATAGCCAGGAATAGCCAAAAAGAAATCTAAAATTGGTTAGCTTGGTAATGAAGTCTGGCACCCCATCAGTCTGCAGTAATATGCAGATACCACAACTTGCGGCAGATTGAGTACACTGAAATTGTTCCCATGATACGCAAGCTTGTTCTCCTGTTTTGCTCCCAAGTTGCGGTTGTGCTCAGCTCCCACTCTTGTAAGATCTCCTCAGCTGGTCTTCTGCAATCATACATGTGATAGATATTTTCAGACTTTTAAAAAACATGGATTTTATTTCCTGTTTTGCTTTGCTTTTCCTTTTAGCTGCTTCAAATCCCCTGTGGATGGAAAGTCAGTCTCAAGTGAAATGTTAAAATAACCAAGCAAGTAGACAAACATTTGTGCGTGGTGTAACGTTTGTGGATCTCCCAATACATCCAGAGAAATTAAAAACAAAAATAAATAAGTAGCAATAGCAATCCTAAAGGAAACCAACCCCGATTGTTCTTTGGAAAGACAGGTACTGAAGCTGAAGCTCAAATACTTTGGCTACCTAATAAAAAGAGAGGACACATTAGAAAAAAAAAACCCTAATGTTGGGAAAGATTGAAGGCAAAAGGAAAAAGGGGACGGCAGAGCATGAAATGGATAGACAGTGCCATTGATGCACTGAACATGATTTGTGCAAACTCCAGGAGACAGTGGAGGATGGGGGAGGGGAGGGCTGGCATGCTGTGGTCCATGGGGTCACAAAGAATCAGACCAGGGGTGCTATTCAGCAGGTTCTGGAGAACCGGTAGCGGAAATTTTGAGTAGTTGGGAGAACTGGCAATTACCACTTCTGGCTGGCCCCAGAGTGGGGTGGGAATGGAGATTTTGCAATATCCTCACATCAGGAGTGGGAGGGAATGGAGATTTTTGCAGTATCCTTCCCCTGCCACACCCACCAAACCACACCACACCCATCAAGCCACGCCCACAGAACCGGTAGTAAAAAAATTTGAATTCCACCACTGAATCAGACCCAACTGAGTGACTGAATAACAAAAAATAGCAATGCAGCCCATTATTGGTATTCAAACCACCGTCAATGATTTGCAAATCAAAGCAGCTGTTGACTTCTGCAAAGCTTCCTAGTGCATGGCGATTGTTGAAGTGCTATATAATCTTATCAGGGAAAGAGGATTTTTTAAAATAAATAAATCCATCTAGAATAATCTCCGTTTGTTCACTGCTCAAGCCACCCAGCAAAGTCACCCAAATTTTTCCAAACAATTATTTCATGCCTTTTAAGGCACCAGGACTGTGTATTAAATCTGGAATACTTGGAGAAATCTCTTTTCCCCCCCTATATGTTCCCAAAGTCAAAACAGTGGCCTTTTTTCTAGATCGGTAGAACTTTTCAATACAGCTGACTCAACCATCATCATACGATGGTGGCACATTCTTCTCCACTGCTGCTTGGTGAGCCATGAAGAATTTGTTGGGGGGAAATGACAGTGCTCTCATCCCTCATCACCGTAGTTCTTACAACAATGCTGAGCATTGTCATTTTCAGCCTTGGACTAAACAAACCAGACTATCCCTATCATTCACTTCAGTTTTCACATAATTTTTAAAAAGTTCTTCTTGTGTGTTTTCTACTACTGCTACCAGAAAGGCTAAAAATAGAAATAACAGCATTTTCTCAGAGACCCTCTTATGTCTAATTGCCTTTCTATATACTGCTGTAGATAATAACTAATTAGATATCCTTATTGCTAACCCTTGTTTTGTCTTTGAGGTTTCCCGATCAATACTTGAAAAGAAGGCCTTTGGGAACTGTGCCTAAACTGGCCTGAGCTTTTATAGAGAATACAATCATCATCATCTTCTACCAATCTCTAGTTAACTAGCTCCATTTAAAATCAATGTAGAAAGAAAATCTAGATATTTAAAATTTGTTGCTACTTTGCCTTAAAGTATATATTTACTCTAAAAGAAGTCCTGAGTAATTCATTGGAGTTTATTCAAGATCTTTCATATATTTGGACAGTTCCCAAATTGGGATGCAGTGAAAATGTATCATAATTATATACTTATGGCATGATATTCCTAAACTGAATGCTCGAACACAAATTTGATGTAGCAAACACTTTTTTCCAGAGTTGCATTTACTCTCAGCAGTTATTTTTGCAGATCTTCTTTTTCTTTGGAGTGTCTGCAAAAAAAGAGGTCTGCAAAAATAATTGCTAAGCAGAGATATTTCTTATTTCTCCAGCCTAGGTTTAAGAGTACATTTCCATGGCTCCTCAGATACCCTTAATTCTTTTATTTTTTAACAGTCAAGGTGTGCAAAACACGGTTTCATCAGAATTAGGATCCTAGTTTGGATGTTGCCATTTAGGTGTTTGGTGCAAGATTTCGAATTAAAGCATCCTTGGCAGATAGTTGTCGTGAAGGACAGCTTACTTCTATTCTGCTCAAGTGGTTCTGCTATTAAATTGTTTTTACTCTCAGGAACTCTTTTGTAACTGGTATTTGTCTTATAATTTGAATCCATAACTCCATATCCTGCACTCTGGAATAATGGAGAACGAGAATTGATCTACTTGTGTGTCACCTGTTCAAGTATTTGAAGAATGCTGTCGTATTTCCCAGCTCAATCTCAGCAAAACTAAGCTGTCCATCAATTTGTCTTTATAGGAGTTAATTTGTAGTCCAGTGGTCTTCTTACTGCTCATTTCTGAACCTGCTCCAATTTGTCTAGATCTTCAAATGGGGTGCTGAGAACTTGGCACAATATTCAAGATAAAGTTTGTTAAACACAAAATGAAATACTAAACAACCTAGGAGAAACATGCATAAAAATCTGCACATGAACACATTCCAAGATAAAACAGACATATGAATTATATTTAAATAATATTTCAGTGCCAGAACTAAAGTTTATCTTCAGAGATGTTGAAATATCTTTTTACAATTTCTGGTTCCATGATAACGCAACACTGGATTTATGCAATAAGGACATTCAAGGCTTGGGGTGGTTTGTATGGCTTGAAAAACCATTTTTCTATAACAGAATAAATTGTGCTTTTCTCAGGACAAGTCCAAATACTATTTCCAGAAACATATTTATTGGGATAGAGGGTCAACAGTATACCTGGGAAAGATGTACCGGTAGCTATCAAATCTTTGTTTAAAAAGTGTGTTGTTTGCATGTTAAATGTCATAAATCCATCAGTTTGTTTTAAAATTTGCTCAAGTATAAATGATACTGAATATCCTTAATTTTATGTATACTCTTTATTGCATATTGTTGTTTTTCTTTAAAAAATGTACAGTCTTGTAACATACACATCATTTCCTGCTAGCTAAAAACATCTGTGTATCTAAGATCCACTACATGGTTTGCTACTCCTAATCTACTTAGTATATTTCAGTTTACAAACTATCACTTTTGTTTTCCTCTCTCTTTTTTGGCATTATTTTTTTTTAATTACACACCCAGGAGCAATGCAAAGAGGAAAATTATAATGAAAATAGAGTGGCTACTTCCACCAGCACCAGTCAAAAAATGTAATTTACAACAAATGGCACATGGGATTAATCTGTACATTTATTTAAGAAAACAAACAAGAACAAAAAAACTCTCTCACACAAGCACAAAGAATTGCAAATGCAGCCTCCCAAATAAGGCTTGTTGCAGATCAAGTTTGATTTGGAAGCACAAGGAATGGTTTTCACTGGATCCTTGCTTCCTTTGTAATCCGTGCAGTAGAGATTGCAAGAAATCCAGGGAGATCCATTAATCCATCCTACAAAACAGAAAACAATTTCCCCTTGAAGCTATTTTAACATTGCTGACAGCCCAACACAAATCAGTCAGCTGTCTCAATTTGATACTTGATGTTCTAAATGCCAAAGAAGTTTTTTGGGGTGGTGTGGAGTGGGTAGGGGCAAAATCCTACAAGCGATGTGCTTGACTAATGAGCCCAGATTTATTTTGGATCCAAATAAAACATTGTGTTTCTTTTGATTAGTTTTGAACAGATCAGAATTGAGTATTACAGGGTTTTCAAGCCAGAACCGAAATTGCTGTTTTTTTAAAGAAGTGTTTCCTTATCTTGGTAATTTTAAGATTTAAAGGGCTTTGACTCCCAGAATTCGTCAGCCAGCTATGGAAGTTGAAGTCCACATATCTTAAAGTTGCCAAGGCTGGGAATTTTAAGGGCTTCCACTTTAATTTGCACTGAATTTCACTTTCACCTTCTGACTAATCCCATCTGATTTACAGTAGGATGATTAAACAAGGTAAGCTGATAGGGATCCTCCCAAAATGAATGTGTGAATCCAACATCCCTGCTGAAAAAGTGAGAGAAAGAATTATCTAAATAATTTTCCAGCTTGTAGTGTATTTCTGGATAGCTCCACTGGAAAATCCAAGCACTGCCTCAAGCAGTGTTAATCTGCACAATGGGTATCTGCAGGATGTCCTGGGTCAACAGAGACATCTATGCTGGGACATGTGTCAGTCATATATGCTTGCATTATGTCTACTCCATGTAAATGGCTTCCTGATGAGAATCTGAATTGGTCCTGGGGGTGGGTTGGGGGCTGGAAATAAAAGGTACTCACTTTTCAGCAATACTCTTTCTATGGTCATAGAAAGGGTGCCAAATTCTTAAATGCCTATTGGATTGCAGGGCTGGTCTTCCCGAGGAGACTGAATGTCACAGCACTTTTCTCCTCTTTATATATTCATACTATGCTGGCTTTGTCTTTATTCACGTTTCCTCTGATCTATCTGAGTTCTTTCTCATCATCAACGCCCTAAAAATCGCATCTAACCCAATTTTCTTCCATCTATAAATACAATATATACATATAAAAGAGAGGCACTTTAGTTTTAAGTAACAGTTATGACCAACTTGGATGCTTTCTCCTGGAGCAAAGCTTTTGCTCATATCTGCTCTCTGCAAGGACTCAGATAATCAGCCTTCTCACTCTGACTGTTTTGCAAGGTATCTGACGAGCCATCCAGGTGTAGAGTTTATTGAAAAAGGCTGCAGTTTAAGAAAAATGACATTTCAAAAAAAAAAAAGAGAGAAAAATACATGCACGTGCCTACATACACACACACACACGCACAAACAGATCTCTCTGACAGCTCTCTGTGGTGTGATCTTCACAGCTTTCAGATTGCAAAAGGATCTGGGGATCCCGGCAACAAGAACTGTATTTTGTACAAACTAGTTTTTATACAAAACCACACATTTCTTTTACAGTTCACATGAGGAAAAGTGCTATTCCAATTCCCCAACCAGTTAGCAACTTTTACTAGTCCCTCCCCACCCCCACCCCCCAAAAGTTTCAAACAGCATTAACTATCTAGTGCAAGGACCAAAAAAAAATAAAATAAAAATAAAATAAACAAATCCCTGTTCAATTTCAGATAACAACATGAGGATGGTTAAAAAAAAAAAAAAAAAAAGCCAAGCAAGAGAAATCCCACTAATAAATAAAAGAGGGGAAAAAAAGAGAGCAAAAAGTAACAGTCTTCAATATTCTCTATAAGATTAAGCCACGCTATAAAAAAATTGGCATTTTAAAAACATCTTTCCAATTTCTTTGTATTACTATTGTTTTTAAATTATTAATTACTCCCTGAGCAATCTGATGTTTTTTTTTGTTTTTTTGTTTTTTGTTTTTTTTAGATTTTGGATCGACATTTTTATAGGTAGCTCTGCTTAACACTTCTGCAAGAAAACATGAATAGCAATATAATTTTGAGGGGGGGGGGCTTCCTGCTGCTTTGCATGATACATTTGGTCCTTAAATCTCTCTCCTCAACTCTGGACTTCATCAAAACCTTTCACCAAAGCTGTTTCCTTTGGGACAAAGGGCAAACTTTGAAATAAGTTTTACCTATGCTTGTTCTACAAACAAGGGCCTCTGTGTGGTGCCAATCAACCCAAGGCCATAGGATCATCAGGAGAGGACATTAAACTCACTGCTTAAGAGCAGTTAAGCAGTTAAGAGCCACCTTTATTTTTCATGGCAGCAGTTCTCAGCTAAACTCTAAAAAACCCGAGGCACTACATTCACTTGGTCCACTCCTGGTACTGCTTGACCAAAAACCTAGCTCTGAAGACTTCAGTGGGCATGTATGGAGGATTACATATAGCGCCCAATATCTGCAGGTATGCCCCGAACCCGCCCCCCCGCGCCCCCAAGGCTCTTCTGGAATCACTGCTGATTAGACAACTGTTACAAAACGGAACTGGCCCAGAGTAACTTCTGACCTACATTTACAGAGAATAGAGTTTGTCTTATTGGACAGGGAATCAAAACAAAACAGAATGAACACATAGATTCTTGGATCCATTTTTTTTCCCAAAAAGAGAGAGCAACCCTCCCTCCCTCCCCAATTCCCCATTGGTCTTCAATAAGAAAACAAATCAATTCTATAGGTGCATTATTACAGTGATGAAAAGCTCCCCAAGGAGTCCAAAAGTGCTGGGAAAGAATGAAAAAGAGAGATTAGGGAATAAAGGGAGCCAGCACAAGAATTACAAGGGATGTTCAAGTTTTAGGTAATAATAGATACAGAAGATAAGATTGTTTTCCAAGAAATACAGTTCAGGCTGAACAAGAAGAGTTTGTAATGGACTTTTTGCCACTGTATTCCCAGCAGTGATGAGTCAGTCAAGGTGGGTCCATCCAGGTCAAGATGATCTCAGGTCATCCTGCACGATTCTCTTCCTATTTTCCCCTCAGTATCGGCCTCAAGGACCCCAATAAGCCGAGCTGAATGTTACTATTCAGCCTCCCTCGTTCCCCCTGGGTGTTTCTGCCTCTTATCAGCCTCCCTCTCCAATGTTTGTGCTTTTGAAATGGAGAAGCTGTTTGTGGAATGCCACTATAACTGGTAGAAAAGGGAACATTCGTTCAAGCAGTAGCCACCGTGCGTGCTTACAAGCATGTCCACGCATACACACACCCTTTTGGTCTCCATCCACCCAAAGAGATTTGTATATACAGCACATCTACACACACACACACATGCTTCCTTTAACACCCGCTCACGCAGACATGCAGGGTGGGGGAGGAAAGATGCCACTGTGTGACCACCAAGGCAGAAGGCAAAAAAAGACCAGGCTTTACCAGATTATTGGTCAGGTTTCTTCTCCCCCCACTAACACTCTTAAAAAAGACGATATTCAAAAGTTGAGTTTTGTGATGGGTCTCTCGCGACTCCCGTCTGCCAGCTGATTCGTGATGCGTTTGCGATTGCGCTTCAATTTAGAAAGGTCTTTGTCAAAGACTTCCCCAGACCTTAAAGCAGAGACCAGGTCATCAAACTCTCCACCTTCTTCACTGTTTTCTTTTGCCTTCCTAGCCTTGCGCTCCCTTTCTCGCTGCTCCTTGAGCTGGAAGAGAGAGAAAGAAGAAAAGAGAGCCTTAATTTCCACGTTGCGGCTATTGAAAATCCCAAGAAAGGCCACACATGTGTGTGTGCAAAACAGTTCAGCTAGTGAAAAGCTGCATGTTCCAATGCAGTAATGTGGTGAGCTCAGTTCTATCTGGAAATATAAATGAATTCTCAGAAATCTCTGGGCCTGCAGAGAAAAAAAGCCCACAGTGCTTCACATGTTGAATTGTGACTGAAAACAAGTGTTGGGGCAGAATGGGGATGTTGGAGGGAAGGCACTTGGTTACAGATTTACAGAGTAGGAGCCTGCACTAGCGGAAGCTAAACTCAGTGGAAGATCTCACATACACTGCATGCAGAAGGGCCTCATGGATCCTAATAAAAAGTGGCAAAGATCACTTTTTGCTGAAAGCTTTGTAAGCTCCCGCTAGCTGTACAGTCTATAATGCTCAGACTCTACAGGAGGCAGGTTCTGAAATTCATATAGGAAATAAATTAAAATATGCTCTAGAGCAGGGATCTCCAACCTTGGCAACTTTAAGACTTATGGACTTCAACTCCCAGAGTTCCTCAACCAGCAAAGCTGGGAGTTGAAACCCACAAGTCTTAAAGTTGCCAAGGTTGGAGACCCCTGATCTAGAGAACAACAGATTGACTATCCTTGCTACTCTTGCTGTGTTAATACAGATGTTTTCTGTAATCTGATGCTGTCTGGATGCCACACAATGCATCTTCTGCTGGCAATGAGAGTTGAAGTTCAACATTTTTCGAAGATACCAACTTGGGGAAGAATATGCAATTGGATGTATTTATTTATTTAATCAAATTTATATGCCGCCCTTCTCCCGAAGGACTTGGGGCGGCTCACAAAAATAAAAAGCATTGCACAATAAAATAATAAATTAATTTTAGTTAATTAAAATACTCCAATTAAAACCCTTAGAAAAACTAAAAACTAAAAAACTCCCAGATGATCAGGCGATTTGTTTAAAGGTCCCTACGGAAGGAGCGGAGATCGGGGGCTGTGCGGAGCCCGGTGGATAAACCATTCCAGAGGGTCGGCACGCCCACAGAGAATGCCCTCATCCTGGGTGCCATCAGCCGACATTGCCTGGCCGACAGCACCCTGAGGAGGGCAGCCCTATGCGAGCGCACTGGTCGGTGGGGGGCCAGTACCCCGGGCCCATGCCATGGGAAGTGCCTTTTGTACTTGTAGAAGTGTCTTTTGTAGTACCTGAGCTTCCATGCGTGCCCGTCGCTCTTCTTCTTCCTTCCTCTTCCTCATGTTTTCATTCTCTTGTTTAGCCTCATTTACAGCTTGAAGGAACTGGTCAAAGATCCCAAAGAACTCATCTGGTTGTGTTTTGCCAGAATCTTCTCCAAAATGCTTCACTGCTTTGATAAACTAAAGGAAGAAACTAGTCAGCTTTTTGAAAAATCTTCCAGATTTATCCTTTTTCTGTCTAAGAAAACATCAGTTTAAGAACAGGATCGTACTTCCAAGCTTAATTCTCTTTCATATCTTCCTTCAGACAAGGCCATGCATAATAGGAATTGTGAGAAACTTATCCATTATGGCAAGTCTGGGAAGTCTTTGGGAAGTCAATGAATATGTGTGGCATTTTGTTATCAGGTTGTGAGCTGGGGTTGTCCTAAGTATAGATAATAATGAAACACCAGCTTAGCAGAAGCAAATTGCTACTCTGTTTGGTCTCTGTCCCACTGAAACAACTCTAATCTTACTTTTAACATTTTGGAGGTTGGGAGGGGATAAAAAGGTAAAGATAAAGGTTCCCCTCACACATAAGTGCTAGTTGTTCCCGACTCTAGGGGGCAGTGCTCATCTCCGTTTCAAAGCCGAAGAGCCAGCGCTGTCCTAAGACGTCTCCGTGGTCATGTGGCCGGCATGACTAAATGCCAAAGGCGCAGGGAACACTGTTACCTTTCCACCAAAGGTGGTCCCTATTTTTCTACTTGCATTTTTTACGTACTTTTAAACTGCTAGGTTGGCAGAAGCTGAGACAAAGTAACGGAAGCTCACCCCGTTACGCAGCACTAGGGATTTGAACCGCTGAACTGCTGACCTTTCGATCGGCAAGCTCAGCGCCTTAAAACAAACACTGAGTTGCCTCCTCCTCATTTTTATTTTGTAAACATATCTATTGGCCTTAGGCAGAATTTAAGATCCTTCTGGAAATAAAGATGATCCTGGATCTAATTATTTTGGAAGAAAAAATAATGTAAATAAAATTCCCATGATTTCAGTATGGTGTTCTTGCACATATTTAGGTCGGAAGGGGCCAAGGGCTGCATCTGAATGTTGCATCTTTCACTGCACAATCTGTACAAGCTTCTGTGGTCTGCAGCTTCCTATCTTTCTATTAAATCCTATTCTATTAAATCCTGGTGCTACTAGTACAATCTAGGAGAGAATCCTGCCCTTAAGAAAGTTTTGGACAAACTCAAAAAACTACTCTCTGAAGTCACGCATTCATAATAGGACAAGGTTTGCGTTATGGTACCAGTCACCATCTCCTCCCCTCCTTTCAAACTCTGGTATCTTCATGTATTTGAACCCACCATGTCCTCACCAGGTCAAAGTCTGGTTATCTATCTCTTCGCTAATGAATTATTCATACCATTTTGGAATTGCTAAGAAGCTGCACCTCTGTTTTTGTTTCATGTCGTTTATTATCAAGTTTCCTCCACTCCCTCTTTTATTTACTCAGGGGCAATAAAACCAGAATTTGATATCAAAGTTACAAACCTCAAACACACGGACAGGGAAAGTGAAAACGTGGACTTCCAACTTTGCTTTGAAGATTCATTCCTATGTGCTATTTATTATTGCCACATGCTTCAGTATTGGAACCAAATGTGCTAGGAAAGCTTTGGAAAAGACATTTACCCTCCCCCACCTGTCTTCTTTTGAAAGTAAACTGAATTTGCTTAACCAGAAACTTTTCAGCCCACAGGAATGAATACCCACACGAGGGTTTACCTGAAAATGGTGAGTACTGCATTGATTACCAATAGGCTTGTGAGTACAATCTGAAATGCAGATTGTAATCTATGAAATTCTTTGGGGTTTGGCAACTAGATATCTATAGATCATATATGCCAAGTAGGCCATATCCATCTGGTACATTGGCCCACATGAAGAGAATAGGGAGCCCATTATAGTAACAAGATTATCCTGCCATGGTCCTACTCCATGGAACTGGACATCCAAGTTGCACCCTTCTTTATGGTTTTCTGAAGGAGAATCAAGATGGAAGTCTTCCACAGAGCTTTTGATAGTTGAAGAGTGTTGTAGTTGCTCTATTTTGTTTGGAGGGGGGTTGCTTGGAAGGGGGTTATTTGATTTGATAATGCTACTAAGTCAGTAATAAAGAAATAGCAACAGTACTTAGACTTCTATACTGCTTCATAGTGCTTATACAGCACTCTCTAAGTGTTTTATAGAGTTAGCATATTGCCCCCAATAATCTGGGTCCTCATTTTATTGAACTCGGAAGGATGGAAGGCTGAGTCAACCTGTACTTGGTAGTACAGTGGTTTAGGAAGGCTGAGTCAACCTGTACTTGGTAGTACAGTGGTTTAATGCACCCTGTTATTAACACAGCTGCCTGCAATTTCTGCAGGTTCGAATCTCTCCAAGGCTCAAGGTTGACTCAGCCTTCCATCCTTTCTAAGGTAGGTGAAATGAGGACCCAGTTTGTGGGGGCAATAAGCTGACTTTGTATAAATATACAAAAGTATGAAGGCTATTGCTTAACGCATTGTAAGCCGCCCTGAGTCTCCGGAGAAGGGTGGCATATAAATCAAAATTAAAAAAAAAACTTGGAGCCATTCAGAATTGAACTCCTGGAGTGAGCAGTGAGTTAGTCTGCAGTACTGCAATCTAACCACTGCGCCCCCAAATACCAAATACATATGTTGGGTATGAATAACGAAGGACACCTGCCTTTCAAGGTTTGCTATTTTAGAAACAAAATTAAAGAGAAACAACTCTGAATAAGCAAAATTTGGACAGGATTTCCATTGTGCAGTTAGTGTCAGGGGCTTGATTCAGCTATTCCACACAACTGATGGATGGAATAAAGCTAACGCTCTGAATCATTTTACTGAGGAAAAGCTGAGAGTCAGAAAGAGAGCACGATATGAACCTCTGGATGTTCATTGCCTGACAGAATATCAGAGTTGGAAGGGACCTTGGAGGTCTTCTAGTCCAATCCTCTGCTCAAGCAGCAAACCCTGGACCATTTCAGACAAATGGCTGTCCAATCTCTTCTTAAAAGCCTCCAGTGATGGAGCACCGACAACTTCTGGAGGTAAGTCATTGACAGACAGCTTCTTCTGTTTTTCTCTCTTACAAACCATATTCTTTAATTGGCCCATCTGCAATTGGAATTTGATTCTGATGGACAAATCATAGAGGGACTCACTGCAGAGTTCCTTAATTAGAATGCATCTTCGTGTATTAGCAACTACTGAGCCACAGGGACAAACCAGACAGAGAACCCTAATAAACATTCTCACAGGATAGGCAAAACCTAAGTCCCCACGGGCACAGTTATGACTCCCTCTAAAAATGGTCTGTAATTTAATTTTACAGTTTAATATGACAGAAAACTATTAAACCCATGAGAAGTAGGTAGTTTCACTGCAGTTTCTGGGTTGGCTTTGCCCATCTTTGCCACCCTAACATCCAAAATGTTCCTTCATTTGAAAGAATTTGTAAATTCTATATTGTAAATTCTGGTCTATATCAAGAGGAGCTTTGGGAGAGAAAGGTTTTTAGTTCAAGGTCTTATATTATCCCAGACCCAAGGTGTGGCTTCAGACCATTCATACCTTCTCAACTTCAGTTAAACTGATTATATAAAAAAGAAATACATTGAACCATGGTCAAAATTCAAAGCCTAGCATCAAAAATCCCATAAAGTTCTGGATTAGCAGAGATCTATAATAAGTATGTGCAATATTTGGATCTGAAGGAGATGAGAGAGTGCTTTGGATCCAGTGTGAGTATCATTGCTGTATCTGTCAGATCAGATGCTGCATACCTCTAACCTGTAATAATGATTTCTTACCAGTTCTTTGGCTTCTGCTAGAAGATCTTCTACATCTGAGAAGCTGAAGCTGGCCAAAGTGATGAATTGGCTAACCACAGAAACAAACTTGTCCTCTGGATTGGAAGGCTGGGATTTTTGGTATTCCAGTTCCTTTAGAAAAACAATTCATGTTACTCCAGATAGAGGTAGTCATAATCCCAGATAATGATTGAAATTTAGAAATCCCCAAACAGCTCAAGTCCAAGACCCCCAAATGTACACTCCAAGAGAACTGTTTCTGATGATGTAATATGAAAAATGCATAAATACTGCACTCATGTGGGAAACAGGCTGTTCAGTTGGGTTAGCCAGCCAAATAAATTATTTGTCTTCCCAGTAGCTTTTAGTTGAACAAATCCCGGCTGACATGAACTATGGATAAGATTGGCCGAATACCCTGGCTCTGGATAAGTGTTAAGGAACTGAATGCAAGGAGCTATGGAGGGACAATTCTCCAGTTCTGTTTCAGCCCTTCATTTTTATTAAGCACATTTTATACTGTATTTCTGTAAAATAAAAAGCAACAAAGCAGGAAATATCCAACATATCCAACACACCTTCTTCTCTCCTTTCCCCCCACAACAGCAACCCTGTGAGATATGTTGGGCTGAGAGTGATTTTGGCAGTCTAAAGTCACCCAACAGGCTTTCATGGCTAAGGTGGACTTGAACTCTCAATCTCCTGCTTTCTAGCCTGATGCCTTAAACATTAGACCAAACTGGCCAAGTATTTCCTCTGCAGCCAGTTTAAATTATAGCACAAAGGTCAACTATCAGATAAACCTGGATAATAAAAGCTTTCTGAGAAATCCCCAAGTCATGATGGGACCCATTCAGAGGAGGATATCCCATAGAACTGATGCCACTAGGAAGAAGCCTCTGATCCTGGTGGATGGGCACTGACAGAAGCTAGCAAAGCCTTGGAGGTTGTGCAGTTATATTGGTAAGACATATATAAGAAGGGCAATGTTATTTTGAGAAGAATGGCAGCATCTTCTAGCTTGGAATTTCTTATTTACCAACGTGTTAGGGACTTTTGTGCAACTGAATATTCATTCTGCCATAAACACAACCATGTATACACAACCATCTCCTATGCAGGTAGAGGGATAAGAGCTTCAAAATGCATTGTCCCACAATCAGGCTCTCATTGCAAGTGGGGGCCAATCTAAACTCTAATCAGGAAATAAAGTCCATCAGTTGAGTCAATCAGAGGGTCAAAAACCAATTTAAGATATTCTTTATGGTATGTTAATGATCATCATTATTCTGTGACCTTCTGTTTTTCCGTATGAAATTTTGGGCATTATTCAGTGGTGTGCTAATAAATGTATAATAACAGCCAGATCTGCTGGGTCCATTGCACTGTGCTGCTAGCTGCCAAATCATTGGCTGCTGTGCTAGGTGTAGCAGTTCAGATCTGCTCTCAACTGGAGCTCATAACATTCTTGAAAATTTAACAATTGGTCCTAGCATGCTGGTATGAGCAGCCTCCAGACACCAGTCCATCATTCTAAAGCCAGTCTTCTGTGAGTTTTTCAAACAAAATCATTCAAGTATTTTTTTAAGAACACTTCCATCCCTTTAAAAGCTCTTATAGATTCTATCCTAGAAAATAAATTCTGCTTCTACTCTATGCCATGCAATTTTCTCCTTCCATAGCAGCCATCCAAATATTTCAGGCACTCTCTGTGTCTATCAAAGGATTGCCTATCTCTGTCTACATCTTCATGCGTGCCTTATACACGACCCATTCCATGCTATTGAAAGTTCTGGTGTCCTGATGCAGTTAGACCTTCAAATAACCCTTGCTATCTCATCAGATGTCCTCCTCAATCTAACAGAGGAATACAGCTCCCTGCAACAGTTTTTATTTTCTTTATTATTGATAAGGATCATTTGCTCAACAGTACTAGCGCAGGGCTAGAATGACATATTAACTCATCTTTATTTTTGCAAACATTTATGGTAACATAAAACTGATATACTTTAAGAGGAACCTCGGCCTACTGATCTCAACTCCCTTCAGCTCAATTTCTGGAGGCAATTCACCTAATCTACCATACACACACTACCCCTTGTCAAAATGTCCAAACATTTCTGAGATGGGGGAGGTATATATGTGTGAAGGACATACTGGAACAAAGGTTTATAGTTGGCTTTGCTGATTAAAATTGATTGAAAGCAGCTGTAGACCTGACTGCCACATGGGCTTCCAAACATTTCAAAACTATCTCTGTGCTGTTAGAACTATGAAGGCCAATTTTTTTTTTCTTTTAAAAAAATCACTCATGATGAAAGCAAGTAAGCAAAAAAGCTACTGAGGTCATTAACAGAGCTATAAAGCTGTAATAAGTAACAAGAAGCAGGACAGGAAAGAGAAACCATTTTCTTAGACAAGAGATAACAATGGCTTCATCTGTTTCCCACCCCCCTCCTTCCAAGAATGAATGCTAACCCATGCTCAGATGCCCACCCACGTGGCCCGTCTTGAAATGCAAGTAGGGAACCATTAATTGGATAAGCAACACTTACTGTCTCCACAGCCCTGAGCCCACTCCTCAAGTTGCCAATGTCCTTCTCCAGTTCAGTCATACTGTCAGAAATAAAGGAAAGACATGAAATTTTCAAGCTACTCCTAGCAAAATTTTATCATGTAAATTCTGACACCCTCCGTACTTCTCTGACTGGAGGGGGGAAAAAGACTCTTATTTTTAGATTAGCATCTTATCTGTAGCAATTTAGTTAGCCCTGGCACATGTTGATGAAGACAGCCTTGAGGTTAAAACTGGCACGATTCATTTACCAATGTAAAATGCAAACTCTCTTTCTGAAAGTAAAGCACTCGGAAAGGTTGGGACAATTCCTACTCTGCATTTTTTCAAAAATCAGTCCTAAGCTGCGTTTCTGTGAATTGACCCTATCTGAAAAACAACTTTTTTTTTTGCTACTTACTCCTCTCGTACCTCTGCTATACATAAGTTCATACAAAGAAATTAGTAGTAATAACAGTTTCCTAAATACATGCTTACTTTACTTTGGCGGCTCCAGGGACGTGTTTTAATTCTTCATGTAAGCTGAATACTTTGGGATATTTTTTTTCTATGATTGTGATGAGATAGTGCAACAAGGTAATGTTCCTGGGATAAAGACAGGCAATGATTAATAACATGAACCATAACATGAAATATTACTTTTCAACAAAGAGAAAGTAAGTGACATTTAATTCACCCCAAGGAAACTAGCTATACCTTTCCAGAGTTCAGGTGAAGAGTTCAATACTGTGATGACACACAATGACCATCCAGATCCAATTTGGACTACAAAATACTTGCTTCTCAATAGTGTGTATCTGAGATATGCTATCTGTGATTCAGAGGGCAGCACACAGTTGTTAAAAATAGTAATTACTGATAGCTCTGTCCTCCATGAATTTTTCTAATTCTCTTTTAAAACTAACAAGACTGGTGGCCAGTGCTACATTCAGTGGCAAGAGAATTTGACTACATCAATTTCTACAGACATTCAAAACATGGGTTGAAACATCATGTGGCACAGAAGCATTTATGCTTCAGCCCTTTCTAGTTCTTTCTAAGAAAAAAACTGCCTTTCTCAAACAATTCTTTGCCTCTCATGAATGCTAAAAATGTCTCCATCCATATAGTATTAGGGTTGTCATCTAGCTGGCCTTGTTAAGGTTCTTCAGTCCCTACTGGGGAGGTGAGGAACAGGAAGTTCTACTGCATGGTCACTATAATATCTGTACAACTTGATTTCTTATGTGGTGGTGAAGAGGGAAGTGTTACTGTAATCTGAGGTTCATTCTGTTTTGCGGACAAGTTAAGACAATGTTATCCAGCATAAAATTGTCCATCCTGGATCCTCTATTTCAGGGCTTTCAAACTCGTGGCCCATGGGCCAGATGGGTCACGAGCTGGCCACGCCCACGCCTGGTTTAGCAAAGGGGAAAAAAGTCACGATACGTCACTTGAGACCACCGTAATGACATGACTTTGATACCCCTGCTCTATGTGGCTGAGTATGTGTGCCAGAATTTAAGAGGCTGTTAGTACTTCTTTGAGGGAGAGATTAATCTGGCTGCTTTAAAGGAGCCCCTGCGTTCCCCCTTCTGAGGAGACTTTTTAAAAATCCAGCTTTATTAGATAATAATAATCTTCTCTCCAATCTTTTCCTTTTTGGGGGAAAGTTCTTGATAACGTAGTGCAGCTTCAGCTGCAGACTGCTCTAAAAGAAGCAGATTATCTAAATCAGGGGTATCAAACGCGATTTCATTGAGGGCCGCATCAGGGTTGTGTTTGACACAACTTGGAGGCCAGGGTGGGTGTGGCCAGGGTGGGCATGGCCAGCTCGATGTCACTGTCGGGGGCACCTGTGGTGGCCCTCCCGAGCTCTGTTTTCACTGACAGAGGGTTGTAGAAGGCAGTGGCAGCCAAAAAAAAAGAGCTTGAGACCCTGTTTTCACTGGCAGAAGCACCCTAGGCCAGTCCTTCACTGTTTCCAGGGTGCCCCCAAGGGCCAGATCTGAGTACCCCTTGGGCCAGATCCGGCTCCCGGGCCTTGAGTTTGACACCCCTGATCTAGATTCTTTAAATACAGAGTTCAGAAGGAAGCTAGTCTTCCAACACCCTCTTCTCACCCCCAAAATGAGCACATGCTTGAAGCTGCTTACTTGTCAATGCTGGATTTGGTATCTGCAATCTTGTTGAGGCTAGAAATTTTAAAGCCATAAGCATTCCCTCTCTGGCCCTTGTTCATGTAGTTGCCAAAAGCCAAAACCACTTCAAGCAGCTGCTTCAGGCTTCTGCTCTGGAATACTTGGATGGAAGCAGTTCGAATGGCTATAAAGGACAAGTGGAAGAAGATCCGGTCAGACAGTATGATGGTGACTAGAGAGCATTAATATGTGTTTAATGGAATGATTTACAAAGCAGCTGGAATTTTACAAACAGAAAGGAAGATACCCAAGAAATGATCACAGCATTGGCAAAAAAGGAAAAAAAATAACAATAAAAAAAGATGAAAATTACAGGTATCATTCAAATGACTTCTTACAAAACAACCAAGTTAGAAAAGAAGATGAAAAGAGATAGGTTTGCTAATAAAAATGATCATTACATTTTTTTGACACATGTGTTTTTAGATCCTGGAACAGAGTAACAGAGTTGGAAGGGATCTTGGGAATCTTCTAGTGTCCAACCCCTTGCTCAAGAAGGAACCCTATACCATTTTAGACAAATGGTTGTCCAATCACTTCTTTTTATCCAGTGTTGGAGCACCCACAACTTTCGGAGGCAAGTTGTTCTACTGATTGTTGTTCTGTCAAGAAATTTCTTCTTAATTCTAGGTTGCTTCTCTCCTTGATTAGTTTCCATCCATTGCTTCTTGTACTGCCTTCTGGTGCTTTAGAAAATAGGTTGACCTCCTCCTCCCTGTGACAACCCCTCATATATTGGAACACTGCCCTCATATCACCCCTAGTCCTTCTTTTCATTAAACTAGACATACCCAATTCCTGTTCTATGAACAATTCATAGAACATTTCAACTATTAGGTGTTCTCATCACCATTAATCCTTTAATAATTCATCAAAATTAAAATATTTATGATTTAAGGTCACAGTCTATTCTCATTAACATGATATCCCATCCCCCTCCCTTGCCACCACTGTTTTGTTCAAAATTTAAAATAAAATTTAAAAGATTTTCCTTGTTTCAAATATTTATTTCAAACATAGTAGAAAGGTTCTTTGCACTTTGATTCAGTTCAAGAGAAGTTGGCTTCCTTAAATGGTTTCATCAAACATAACCATTTCCTTGAGGGCATACTTTACCTTCAACTTTGGGTTTAACTTCAGCAACTCTCTCAGCAAACTTCTTCTTAAAATATAAGGACTGCAGCCTTTGCTGGTAATGATTTATCCTATAAGAAAAAGGAGTAAAACAGTAAAAGAGCTACATTTCTCAAGGTTAGTAAAAGTTGGAAAAAAATGACATGTTTCAGGTTAAATTGCACTGTTGCCTTCTGAAAAGTAAAAGCAATCATCTGTAAAGATTATCATCAAATACTTATTCCGTGACTTTCAAGCTCCATAAAATCTGATGTCCTTCAATTCAACTTACAGTTCCTAAAATAACATGATCAAAGCTTGGAATGTAACTTGAAGCCATCAGATTACAGAAGGTGGTCCTGTATTCTGTATTCCCACTGCATACAGCAAAGGCAAAAGTGGCTTACAAATCAACATGATTCAATAAGAAAACACACTGAAATTAAATGGAAATGGAAAGAATGGAACCTCTTTAGCCTGTAAGCTCTTTAAAGAGCTCTATCTCCCCAAGCTTCCTGTGGACATTTTCTCAAATCCTTAATACAACTGAGACATGCCTTTCCATATTGTTCATTTTTTGTATTTATCTCTTTCCTCCCTCACAGCAATAATTACATCAACCAAATCAATCTCACTAGGCTAGAATACCAATTTCAGCAGTATAAAAAGCCCAGATTGTAATTTTGTACTTTTTCTTCAATACATAGCCTAAATCAGACCTGTCAAACTGGCGGCCTAGGGACCGGATTCGTCACATGCTGGCCACACCCACCCCAGCTCCGCAATGGCAAAAAAGTTGTGATATGTCACAATACATCACGTGACCGATTTAGTTTGACACCCAAGGTCTACGTGGCTAGGAAAACAACCTTCCTTTCTACACATTCATCTAGTTATTGAGTTCCTGTTTTTGGTGTAGACAGCAACAGTAGAAGGGAAGCAGCTGGCAAATTCACCTGCTCATTTCAAAGAGAAATCTGTCAGCTTTGGCCATCCGATCCAACTCATGCTTGTGTTCTTCCAGAAGATCAATGTCAGCTTTTTCAGGAACAAATTTTAAAAGCTAAAAAAGAAAAATAGGTATTTTAGATGAACTATCTTCTCTCAGAAATTCAACTTCTTACAGCACAAGAGAAAGCGCAGATATGTAGGCTTCAAGATTTTCTACTGAGGACGTGGGTAAGAAATAATTTTTTAGTGGGTAATCTCATTGGTGGCCCTGAAACACAGATGGATAATCTTGCAATATATGAGGTTGTTAAGATACCATTTTCAAGAATAACTGGGGAGAGCAATGGGTGTATGTGTATCTATATCTATTTCAAATTTCTTAACTGGCCATCTCCTCACAGATGGCCTCTAGGCAGTATTATTACCAACAGAACAGGTAGTTCTCAACTTATGACCGCAATGAGCCCAGAATTTTGGACATAAGTCACTGCAGTCATTAAGCGGGTCACTATGTGACCTGACTCAATTTTACAATATTCCTAAAATGAGTCACCACGGTTGTTAAGTGAATCAGGAAGTCACTAAGCAAATCTGGCATATCCAAAGGGCATACTTTGCCATTTTCTGTTGGTGCAATCATCATGGTATGCTGTAACCAGTTGTAAATGTGTGCCAGTAGCAATCACCCGAAATGTGATCAAGTGAGGATTACCTGTATTTGAGGAGCCGTAGTGGCATAGTGGTTAGAATGCAGTATTGCAGTTCGAATCTCACTGACTCAAGGTTGACTCAGCCTTCCACCCTTCTGAGGTTGGTAAAATGAGGACCCATCTTGTTGGGGGCAATAAACTGACTCTGTAAACCACTTAGAGGAAGCTATGAAGCGGTATATAAGTCTAAGTGCTATTGCTATTGAGTGGGAAAGATGGAGTAGGGTCCCATTGCTGTTTCTCTGATACAAGTAATATTCTTACATGCCTGCTTGCCTCCCTACCAGCCAGCTACTGGCTAATCAGGCAGGCAGTCAGATTCAGTAATTAGGGTTCATTTGAGCTCCATAGGCTACACAGAAAGGCTGAATAGGCTGAGGACTGCATGAGTCAAGAGGTAACTCCCATTTAAAGGATGAGATTTACACTTGGCCTTGAATTATTTATTTATTCATCTATCTAATTTATATAGCCACCCATCTCACAAAGCAACTGATTCTGGGCAGTATACAACAAAACTGAAAGGACATTTTAAAGAGTATGTTGAGGCAGATCAAGTTCCCATCTCCTTTTTTCAATTAAAAAGAAATAATTGTGTCCCTAAAATATTTTCTTCTTGTAAAGAAAGCCAGTGAAATTACTATACAGAATGAACTGATTTCATTCCAGGTGGATCAGATTAGTCACCTGCTAAGGTGTGGTGATCTTTCTTCACCCAGTTTGACTCCTCAGCTGGGATAGAACTTATCAGCTGCATCTCTGCCTACAGCAGTCTATGAATAGTGGTGTGTGTGTGTGTGTCATGGAGGATTATTCACAGATAGCATCAAAGGAGACTTCTTTCCTACACTTTCTAATTTTTCTTCAAAAGACATGCTTTTTGAAAGCTGCTAAATAACACAACAAGTTAAGGTGGAGCTGTCCCAAATCTCTCACATTTTCTACTTTGTTAAGGCAACCATTTCACATCTCTTGGTTTCTTCTTTAGCTCAGAGCTGAACTCTTCTACTTCCATAGATCAGGAGGGGAAAAAAAACAAAACACCCAACGGCCCTGGAACGGTTGGAGCAGAGATCCTACCTAGATGGTGAATTCTGAACTTACATTTTAAACATTTCTGTCAAGAACTGAACACCTTCTGTACTCACCTGTTCAAGCATATCCTTTGGCAGATCCTCCTGTTCATCCATTGTTAAAATTGCACGTTTAATTTCATCATTTGATAGTTTAAGCCTGGAAAGGCAAGACAATAGAACATTGTTACATAAGCATGGAAGTCGGCCTGTCTGTCTGGCTATCTCATTACTGTAAAATTTGCTAAATTTCTAAACGTTACCTTTATGCTGCTTTTAATTGGATTGGTTTTCATTTTTGGGTTAGTTAATAAATAAGCATTAACAAACTTATAATGATCTAAGTGTATGTATGTGTGACAGAGAGGAGAGGGGGAAATTTAGAGCCTGCCCTTGGCAGTGAAATGAATAATGAATTAGGGAAATGAATATTTTGCAAGAGGTTCTGTATTTCTCTCCAAGGAATGGACTCTGGAATCTTTTGCTGTGTCAGCAGGACTGTCTTGGGGCTTTTATGTACGGGAGGGTGTTTGGTCCTCACACTCTAGGCCTGGAAAAACAAACACACACAAACCCTGCATGAAGATGCCCCTAGAGAATATTTATCGGAGGGGATGGGGAGGGAGATAGGAAAAGCTCTTCTCTGACAATGCAGGGGGGAAAGAGGCCAGCAAAAGCAGTAAGCCTATCCAGAAAACCACAATAATTATCTTTGTTGGCAGCAGCTGCTAAGCACAGACAATCTGAGATGGAAGGTAGTTACAGCCCTGGCTGTCACAAGGATTTAAATGATGAAACTTGTTGACAGGGTGTGACAGCTTGCAAGAGATGTTGAATGGGTGTGCTTAGCTTTCATGAGACAAACAGCTAAGCTCATGAGGAGGGTTAAAAGAGAAGGGAGTGTACATAACTTTAACAGGCTCAGAATACACTTTTGGGATGGGGAACCCTTTGCAACCCAGAGACAAGCCAGTGCAGAAAGACTTTTGACCGATATATAAAGGGAAAGTAATATTTTCTTAGGGTAGGAACTTATTAGGAAATTGGATAAATCAGTGTTGCAGAGCAACTTTAAAACACTGATCAGCTATTTAGGGTCTGGAAGGAATTATATCTGGAAGAAAGGTAGTGACTAGTTATGCTTCAATATGAAAAGCACATGCCTGTGCCAGGAAAAAGGCTTAGGTATAGCCGGTGTTGTGCTGATAAAGGCATAACAACTGGTTCTGCTGTCTCTACTGCCACTGCTGCATTGCATGGATAGCTGCCAAACAGCTGAGGGGGGAGGGCTAGGCACCGTGTCTCAGCTGAGAATTCCAGAATATTTAACAATCAGCTCTCATGATTGTTGGCTCCAGTACATCCAATATGAGCATGGCAAATCTAAGTCTTCCCTTATCAATTCTGCCTTTTCAGTGGCAAAACTGTTGTCTTTATCTGTATGGAAAGTAATACCCTCATCACCCAGGAGAAGAGCGAGAGGGAGGGAAAGTGAATCCAGGAAGTTTCATGTGTGTGTGAAGAATGTGAAAGTCATAAGATGCTCCATTTCCATGAGGAAGCCGGAATGGTAAAATGGCTTGGAGAGAATTTCTAATCAGTGAGTTGGGTGGGAGATGGCTTGAAAACTGAATGAAATGAAGTTTCCTCTGAGAAAGCATCAGTGAAGCAACCAATATTGCCACTGTGAAATGGATTCATCTGAGATGCAAGGCCTGGAATCTAAGCTTGCCCAGATTCAGGGATGTTATTATAACTTCTGGAATAGTGGAAGCACATGAAACAAATGAAGACTTGAAAACTGGATCTGGAAATTAAGGAAAATGCCATTAATTAAAGAGCATTGCTAAGTCTGACCACCACCCTTTCCATTAGAAGAATAGTGCTGGATCAAACTAGCTTTATCTAATCCAGCATCATGTTTCTCCCAGTGGCCAAAGAGATCCTTTGGGGAAGTTTATAAATCAAGATGATAGCACTCACAGCTAGTATTCAGAGGATGCTGCCAATAACCCTCAATAGGATTTGTGAAGCCAGCGAAGGAGGAGAGCTAACGAGAGCACAGCTAACTCAGGTGCAAAGAACAATGTCTAGGTTTGTTCGATACAGTTTAAGAATCAACCCCAAAATGCAAAACCATATATGGTCATATTACATTCATAGGAAAGAGGTGGGGGGGATGGAAAACCAAAAATATTTCCTAGCTTGAGAAGAAATCTAATATGACCTCATTGTCCAACCATTTTTCCCAGAGCTAGAGATCAAGGCAGAAAAAGATAAAATATCTAGCAAGGCCGAACGTTTCAGAGATGCATGCCAACAATATCTGGTTTGCTTTATAAATGTATAGGATAAATAAAGAACTGGCCTGATGGTCATGTATAGAAATATTTCCTTAATTCAACAGTGCAAGAAGAAAAACAGTTAGAGTGTAATTCAACTATAATTCTCTAGATATTTGACATGGTTCTCCCGGATGAAAATATGTAGAATTGGCTTATTTACAATATATGAATCTCAAACTTAAATTTATCCTCACAGCCTGTCAGGTAGGCTAGTCTGGAAGAAACACAATGGCATTAGTGTCTTTTGCCCTCTCCACACCACTGAAAATAATTCCTGATCTCCTTTGCCACATTTGAAAGCAGTATAGCGTATGCAAGTCAACACATTTTTAACAGGCAGAGAGGGAGAAAACTTATGCACAGTGATGGGGGCTGGAATAGCGGATTCCCATTAAACTCTAATCAGGCTGTCTTCAATTCTGGGTGCTGCACTGTTCTGGATTGTGCATTAAATCAATTATGGGTGCAAGGATGGCAATCAGCACTTCAAATAATTAAAACGTTTAAACACACATGATACTGAGAATACAATTAGGCACCTTCGCTTGTGAACAACTGGAGGATTACTGGAGAAGGTGGAAGACAAAACATTTACACAGTGGTCATTCAAACATACATTATTGCTGCCCTTTCTGCAATTCAGGAGCATGGTTTTTTGAATTGGGTGGTACCATATAGAGCAGGGGTGTCAAACTCAAGGCCTGCTGGATCCGGCCCATGGGGCCGACTTGGGAATATCAAAGGACCGGCCTGCAGTGCCTCTGCCAGCTAAAATGGGCTGCGTGTGGCCCCCCACTCCCTGTTTTGGCCAGCAGGATGCTGCAGGAGGCATCCATTCCGTATCCCCCTCCCCACTCCGCCAACCCACAGAGAACTACAATGCTGATCCAGCCCTCAAAGAAATCCAGTTTGACACCCTGATATAGAGAATTATAACTGAAGCTTAAAGATCTGTGCAGCAGCCCAAATTTGGTGTGCATATTACATTTCTACATTTTTTACGCTAAAAAATCTGAATTTGCAGTTGTACACTCTCCTCAATACATGCTATTTTTTTCTATATACAGTACTTGTAATCCTGGAGTTACAATCATTCATTTAACGTTTTAAAGTTATGGACCCTCCTCCCAAAGTAGTTATCATTCAATCTGAGCAAGGCGCACTTGTCCCGCTCTGCCTCTGCTCTCACTGCTTCCCTGTTGGAGCGCAGGGAGCAGGCAAAGAAACCATGGTAGGGGGGCTGGAGAGGAGACAGCTCGCTTGATCATGGAGATCTTTGGAAGGTAAGCCCTGAGCCTGTGGTGACCCAGTGGGGCAGGATGGGGATGGAAGCATGATATCTCAGTGGATCAGGGGAGGCCTTGGGTGGTCAGAAGCAGGTGGCCTGTTCCAGCACTAGGCCTCCCATGGTCTTCCCAACCCTGAGATACCTCATATGCACTTAACAAACTGCACATTTGATTAGCGAATGCATTGGGTAAAGCAGGAGTTATCACGTTCATTTAACATGATCCAATTAAAGAATCCTCAGGTTACGAATGTAACTGGCAAGCTCTATTACATTTGTAACTTGAGGATTACCTGCACAATCTTCTTTTTAGGGATAAAAGTTGTTCTACAGTACAATTTTTAAATAGAGTGCAATGGATGCCAGAAGACCTCTCTTCTTGCAGCCACAATGGAGTTCCTTTTTGGGTTGACTCCACTTTAGACCCTATAATAATCCAATGCTTTTCATTTCCTATTTGTGGCTACTGGGAGTTGCAACCTCCATGAAGCTATCTAATCTTGCTACAGGCAAATGTATAACATATAGAATGCTGTCTGTCTCTGTAAAAGAAAATGAACCTAAAAGAGACGTGGTCCTCAAAGAGACTTTCAATCTTTCAGAGGATGTCTTCCATAGAGAACTTGTTCTTACAAAAGAAGGGCAATGCATTTAGTGATACCTTGAGAGCAGAATATTGCAGTTCTGAGCCCTCCGACCATCTATTACTGAAAGCTCCTTGACTTTATGCCTGGAACTCAGTGTGTCATCAATGGAGTCTTCTTTCTACAAAAGGCATGGAAAGAATTCATTAATAAGTAGATGTGCACTGATATTTTAGAAGTTCTGGCACATGCCAATATCTCAAACATTAATCAAGAAGGGTTACTAAGGCCACCGATTAAACTGTAACTAAAACACAATAATCTATTTCATAAATTGGAAGGTTATCCAGGAGAAGGAAAAAAAATAGGCTATTGGTTACAAGTGGATAAATATTTATCCGGTTACAAAGATTTAAGAATCCACAAACAAGAGACAGTGAGGAGCACAGATAGTCTTTTCTTGGATATGTTGTGACATTTTATTTAGAGTTGGTTGCTATCAACTGGGATATTGCAAAGGAAACTTTTCATGACACTATAAATGGAACAGCCCTTGTTCAATGGCATTATACCTTTTCATATGCAAACGATCCCAAGTTTAGTCTCTAATATTTCCATCTGATATGTGTAAAAATCTGAGATGTGTAATAGTCTGGATGTGAAAGACTTTAGCTTATCAAGACAGATATTACTGGAAAGGACAAAAAGTTATTCCAATTCCAGATAAAGCTTTTTCCCCTTCAACATTGAACAAAGAGGTGGAAAGTTATCTGCCAAATCAGATTTTTGATCCATCCAGTCTGTATCATCTTTTCTGACTGGCAGAAACTCTCCAAAATTTTCAACTAGAATTTTTCCCAAGTTTCATATCAAAGATCTTGAGCCTGAGACCCTCTGGGTGCAAAGCAGATGTTCTACGGATCTGCTCTTCAACAATTGTAATTTAAGAAAAGGTGGTAGGATCATGATTCAGTTACATAGGGGAAAACATGGGTAAGTACAAATCCAGGAATGGACAAACAGATTCATTGGGACAGCAGTCTTTTCCAATCTCATGCCCTGTCAAACCCAGCCAGACTGCCATTCAAGTTTGATAACAGATGAAATCAAACATATCTGAGGATTCTGGAGAAAAGCTGGTTCAACATAACTAAACAATTGTTTGATTGCAGTCACAGAAGGAATTTGGGATATTCATCCAAATCTTTTTGAAAATCTGAAATAATGCAGCCCAAATTTCTAGTTGGTTCAGTCCACATACATACATACACTCATATATATATGTTTTTGTTTCTTTGTAGCGACAGAGAAGTTGTTTGTCTTCCAGGATTTTTCTTCTACAGTCTAGCCCAGTGTTTTTCAAACCTAGCAACTTTAAGATGTATGGACTTAAGATGTATGGAATTCCACAATCAGAACAGTGGGAGTTGAAATCCACACAACTTAAAGTTGCAAAATTTGAAAGACACCAAGTTAACCTACTTGTATAGTTCTAGAATTTCCTAGAGATGTCTCTCCATGAACTAGCCACTGTAGACCCTGTTTAGCTTGAAAGGGTCAGACAGATGCTGCCATCTGCTGAGAAACACACACACACACACACACACATGCATTCACCCATATATATATACACACACATATGCACACAGAGAGAAACGTTTATGCATAAAGCACTCTTTGAGAGAGTCAGGTACTTTATGATAATTACCTTATATCCATTGGCTATATACCTTAATATTCACCAGGTTTTTCAAAATTAAAGAAATTAGTTCCATTTCCCGCTGACCAACCCAACCCTTCCTGAATGAACTGTCTAATAAAGCACTGGTCAACAAGAAAAGCAAATAAACAGTTTGCAAAAAAAAAAAAAGAGAGAGTAAGTAAACAAAAAGTCAAAGCCACCCAAGAACATTAGACTGGTTCTAAACTGTCACAGTATTGTAAGAGACATAAAACTTCAGTACTTTTATTTCTCTGCTATAAATGATTTTATTTTTTCCATATACATAAGGCTATATTAGCACTGTCCCTAAGTGTAAACCACTAAATGATTTGTGAAACAATTCTGAACAGTAAAATAAATCCTACTAAACTCAGACCTCTTAAGCTTTTTAAAAACAACAAAAACGCGTTTAATTATTCAGCTGACCATATCAGCACAAACTACTTGCTCATCCAGCGGAAGATTTGGGCAGAAGCAAACTTACCTGTCTGGAGTTATTGTTCACAAAGAAGTCCTATAGCCAGAGCAGAAGCATGGGGATAGGCAGGAAAAAAGTTTGCAGTTCAGTGGACACAGCAAAAATAATAAAAAAAAATAAAAAAATAAAATAAAAGAACAACCACAAAACAGAAACAGAGAAAAGAGTCAAAGTACAGTTGGGAAGGATATATGTTGTGCAGTTTGCAAATAGGAAACTAAACAATCTCCGCAGCATTTTGGCTATATCAGCTATGACCATTATAATGCAATCCAAGAAGCACGGTACAGCAGAGGTTAGTGTAGGAATACAACAAAAGAGAGTCAGAGGCAAGCAACAGGCATTAGTTTAGATGCAGTTTCATTCATCGGTCATGCACATTTCAACTGAAGGGGACGTTGGGATGGCAACCACACTAATGAGGGATTCAGCAAGTCTCCCATAGGCCCATTCACACAATGCTGTTTTGAAGCCAACATTTCAGAACCTTAAGGAATTTTGTCCTGATACCGGTTCTTAAGCTACATGAGGCTGCTGCCCTTTCTCTTCCCATATATGAATGCTTGTATATGAGCATCTCAGCAATAGCATTAATAGAGTGGAGAACAACCACAGAGGATCAGCATGATTGCAATTTGGCTGCAAAAGAACCATCTGCTAGCTCTGTGTAATCTTGCATGAAAACAAGTGCTTTTGAAATGATGGCACTGTAAGCCACCGAGAATGATGTTGGACGGTGAGATGGATGGCATATATATTTAATAACTAACTAAAATAAATGAATGAATGAATGAATGAATAAATAAATAAATCCTCCTTGCCTGGAAAGATCAGTATTGGGAATTTCTATAATAGTGACTATGATAGGTTTCATATGCATTACAAAAGTCACTGGAATTAAATCAGAACCATAAATTAACCAGGGCCTTTGACTATAGGAGGTTTAGGAGGACTAAAACAGATAAAGATTGCAAAAGTTGCAGATAAGCACTGAATATTATTAAGAAGCCCATTTTTCCAAACATGGTTGATAAAGACTGAATTGAATCCATGCACAATACTATTGATAATGACAACTTTGCCAAATAAATCTTATGGATGACACATTTCTAAAAGCAAAGTGTTGGATATCCAACAACTGAAAAGGGAACATAATGCTTGAAAGCATTTTGAACAGCTAATATAAATATTTTAATGATGTGTGCAAACAATGTTTAATGTTCCTTTTCTCACCAGGCACCTGGAGAGATAGAGCAGATATGCTCTCTGGTTAGAACCAGGGCTGGAAAACAATCAAATTTTATTGCCTTATTTTCTGCATTATCCACACAATACTTTAATTCTAATTCTGGCAGACTGGATATTACCCACACAATACTTTAATTCTAATTCTGGCAGACTGGATAATGTGACTCAACTTCTCTAGGCTGCATTACTGCATTACTGCCCTACCTGTATCACAGCAGTTAGTAATTTGGTGTCTGTGGATGCGTATGTGCTTGGCAGGCCTTGAACACAATGTATAATTGAATCAGGAGATCTCATCGTTTGGTCCAGGCATCCATTATATGTAAGCATGTTTGTTGCTTTTGGTGAGCAGATGATGATGGCTGGGACACAAATGGATATATATTTGTGTCCCTGGGGAAGTGAGAAGGGGTGGGTTTGTATATGTAATGTATAAAGGTAAAGTTTCCCCTTGCACATATGTGCTCGTCATTCCCAACTCTAGGGGGCGGTGCTCATCTCCGTTTCTAAGCCGAAGAGTCAGCGCTGTCTGAAGACGTCTCTGTGGTGATGTGGTCGGCATGACTAAATGCCAAAGGCACACAGAACGCTGTTACCTTCCCACCAAAGGTGGTCCTTATTTTTCTACTTGCATTTTTTACGTGCTTTCGAACTACTAGGTTGGCAGAAGCTGGGACAAGTAACGGGAGCTCACCCCATTATGCGGCACTAGGGATTCAAACTGCTGAAGTGCCGACCTTTCGATCGACAAGCTCAGTCTTAGCCACTGAACCACTGCGTCCCTCTATGTAATGTATACGTTTATGTAATTATATAGGGATACTGTATATAGGAAGATAGGTGAATGAGGGAGATATGTCTGTATGTGGGCATATATAACTATTTATATGGGTAATGGGTAATTTTGTGTGTGTGTGGAGAGAGAGAGAGAGAGAGAGGGAGGGAGGGAGGGAGGAAGAATGAGAATGAACACATGTTCACATATATCAGCTTGATTATTTTCTTCCTAATCAACTTTTAATGCATTTGGATGGAGGATCATCCTCTTCTATTGGAGAAAAAAAAAGTCTCCCTAAAACTCTCTGTTCTTGTAACAGCAAAAAAGAGAAGTGTTTTTTAAAGTTCAATGCAATAGGATTACTAAAATTACTGTTTTTTTTTTCTATTATGTCTGAATTGCTGAATTCAAGGTAATAATGAAAGTTAATTCCCCTTTTGTTTAGCATCTTTGGAGGGAGTGACCGTTGCAGACATGTGGTTACGTTCAGGTACAATGTTTTATTATAAACTGCCCAGATACCTGTGGCTATTGGGCAGTCTAAGAAAAATAAATAAATAAATACTTAAAATTCTCATTACTCTTTTCCTGAAGCAGAGTAACCAAATTCCTAGGTGTCCTGTATAAACAATCTTGTGTAGAAATAACTGCTCAGTCTGGCCAAATACTGAGGATAACATAATGAATCGGTTCACCCTCAACAGCATTTTATCACCTAAGTACAGCAAAAGGAATGGCCAGCTGTGCTATCATGCTGGATTTCCCAACATTTTTGGCACGTGCATGCAGGGAACTGCAATTATAAGAGTTGCAAAGCACTCCTACGCCATGCATTTGCTTTTTGACAATCTTAAAACAAAAATTCATCCTTTCTCCTACTTGATGAAATACATATTTTAGTATTTTTTGCCAAAGCTGTGTTAAATACACACCTTGGAACAATAAAGTGTGCATTTGACATGAATGTGCAGCAAGTACTATAGTATTCACCGGGTAAATTCATGCGGTGATAAGGCACAATGTAATGTGTCTGCATTTGATTTAGCATCTTGTATAAACCCAATTGGGTAGGTTACAAACTATGATTTATAGTTTAGTTGCTGTAGCACCCAGCCAATTAAAGTTAATCATAGAATATAGAATAATAGAGTTGGAAGGGACTTTGGAGATCTTCTAGTCCAAACCTCTGCTTAAGCAGGAGACACTATACCATTTCAGACCAATGGCTGTCCAGTCTCTTTTTAAAAGCCTCCAGTGATGGAGCACCCACAATGTCTGCAGGCAAGTCATTCCACTGATTAATTGTTGTCACTGTTAGGAAATTTCTCCTTTGTTCTAAATTGCTTCTCTCCTTGATTAGTTTCTATCCATCGTTTATTGTCTTGCCTTCAATTAATCACAGTTAAGCAAATTATCATTTTGCTCAGTGGGAACACAATAACTGGATAATATACTCTGCTTTTGCTTTTATATTATTATGAAATGGCCTTGAATGCTGATGTTTATTCCTTAAAGACAGGATATTAGATTGCATTTTTCATACTGCCCGCAACAGGAGTGTTCTGTTTTATTTGTCCTTTCCCTTAACAGAAAAATCGAAGTAGACCTTTTCTTCACCCCTTTATGAAAAAAAATAGCTTTTTTTTTAATAAATCCAAGCATAACGCAGTGCTGTTAACACAGCTTTCTTTCCTTTTTAATGGAAGGTTTAACATAAAATGCCTAAGCTGTTTTAAAGCTTTAAATGTGCTGATATGAAACCTATTTGCAGGGAAAACAAAACGCAGAGTTCCTCACACCCAGGTATGTACAATACAATAAGGTTATAAAATACAAAGAAAAAGGGCACATATTCATTATAGGGATATTGCATGACATAATTGATATAGATTTTATTTCTCCCTGAGCATTTGAGACTATGATCTATACTAGACTTTTCCAGCAAGGCACTTGGTTAAACGTTTGAATGACAACTTCCAGAATAAACATGGCTTTATAATCCTAAAATTGTAAATGGTAGAGTTACTAATGCCCTGGAATTGAGCTTGACTTCTAGTGACTTTATCCATCAATTTCCTTGGCCATATTGCAGAAATAATTCACCATTACCATCTTCTGGGAGGTTTCTTTCTTTTTTTTTTTTAAATTTCCTAATCTAGTCAACAACCTCGAATTTCCAGGTGGTTCACTATCAAAGTATTAGCCAAGGCATTCAATGCTTCTTCTCTTGAATATCAGCCAAGGAAGTGTAGGTTCATTGAAATCCAAGGAAGGGTAGTTTAGACCATGTGGATACACAACACTGCCAGGCCCCTTATGTAGTTAATATTGGGAATCATTTAACCTCTGAGATCTTCCTTGTACACTAAAAAATGTACAACTATATCATGATTTCTTTTCTTTTGAGGCTATGCTTCAACAGCATGTTGAAAAGCAAAATGAAAATAATCTGCAAAAGGGATGTTCTACCGTGCTGATCTAATCAGATGTGATTGAAGAGAGTCCTGAATCATCACCAGAATTCCACGAAACTACCATATACTACATGCTTGATAAAATTTGCTGCACTAGGTGCAAAACTTACTGAACTGTATGGTTATTGCTGTTGTTTGGCATGCTTGCTTTAATACAAATTATTGAACTGAAATCTATCAGTCCAAATGGAGCCATTTTCAGCAATTGTGTTTAATTCTGAATGTTCCAACACTGAATGCTCCAACACTGGAAATGTTTAAGAAGATGTTGGATAACCATTTGTCTGAAGTGGTGTAGGGTTTCCTGCCTGGGCAGGGGGTTGGACTAGAAGACCTCCAAGGTCCCTTCTCTATTCTATTCTATTCTATTCTATTCTATTCTATTCTATTCTATTCTATTCTATTCTATTCTATTCTATTCTATTCTATTCTATATAAATTATATTTGAAAATTGTTTTAATTTCATTAGTTTCCTTTCCTTCACCTCTTCTTTTGTCTTTGTATGGTATTTTCAGCAATTTAAGAGAAATCTGAT